GTATATGGATGAAGGATGGGTTAAATCTCACATTTGTCAGTTTCAACCCATTATCTGACCAGCTATATGATTGATCTCACACACAATACAAGGATGGGCACATGACAGGGAGCCCGCTGTTGTAGTGGGGACGTTACATGATTTCTACTCATGTCAGACAACATGTGCGCTGCATAGATTCCAATGTTTCTAATCTAACTTTCAGCTCAGAGATTCTTAGTACCATCTAGCCACCTGAAACCTGCTAAGGACTGGGGGGCTTTTAACATTTCTGTCTAGCCATGACAAGTATACTTCACATCTCAATGTTATATCCAGTTAGTATAGTCACAATTTTCCATATTGGAGCTCAAGAACCATTCAATTGCCCTTTGTCTCCAGCTGGTCCTGATGCTGCTGCCACCAAAGTCCAGGTAGGGTTTAGAGGCTGTTTAATTCTTCAAGGCTCCACAGACTGCCTGGTCAAGCTCCTTGATTTAAAGCCATTGGTTTTTTCCAGAGGTCAGATGAATTAAAGGTCATACTTCACTTAGCATGGCTGAAGTGAATGGTGGCACTACTCATCAAAGTTGGTTGGAAGGCTGATCCCTCTCTGAACCACCAGAAGGGACAAATTCATGGTTCCTCTGCCTTGGCATAGTGGTGGCGCTGCGGGCTAAACTGCAGAAGCCTGTGTTGCAGGTTCAGAAGACCAAGCAGTCGTAAGATCGAATCCACGCGACGGAGTGAGCGCCCGTTGCTTGTCCCAGCTCCCGCCAACCTAGCGGTTCGAAAGCATGCAAATGCAAGTAAGATAAATAGGGACCACCTCGGTGGGAAGGTAACAGAGTTCCGTGTCTAAGTCGCAATGGCCATGTGACCACGGAAGATTGTCTTCGGACAAACGCTGGCTCTATGGCTTGGAAACGGGGATGAGCACCGCCCCCTAGAGTCGAACACGAGTGGACAATAATTGTCAGGGGGAACCTTTACCTTTACCTACCTGCCTTGGCAGAGTCATTGCTATTCTGGACAGCTGCTGTGATGTCTCCCTGTACTGTGCCTCTAGCATCAGTGAGAACTACAGCTGCCTCTGCTAACTCTGTCTCCACCTCCTCCTTTTGTGAGGGCCACTCCTGCAGCTGCTGCTGAAAAGTAGCTCCTGCCTTCATCCTCCCTCATGGGGCACCTCTGCTTTTTTGTCTACACATAGATGGGTAGGACATGAGCACCAATGCTCCTTCTCCTGTTTGGGTGCCTGGGTATGTCTCTAAAGGTAATCATCCCCAGCAGTGCCAAATCCTTTGGGTAGGCAAGTGGGTCATTCTTCTCTCTGTGGGTAGTATATATTTATTCTGCTTCTTTTTCCATTCCTATTTCTCTCGTACCCTAAATTCCTCACTGTACACTGAAGAGTCTTACTTTCTCTAGCCTCTCCTAACTGGAATACCCTCCATGTGCAGAGATAGGACTCTGAGCACTCAGCTCAAATAGCTCTCCACATGTCCTCCTCTGAACAGGAGAAGGCACTTTTACTATGAACATGTCGGTCCCAGGCCCAGGCCTAGCCAGTGACATGTCTCTCTGTTTGGCCTGCAGGAACTACTGCAATGGCAGCCTTTTAAAGTAGTGAAGGAGGGGAGGTATACCAGCACTGCCCTTGTCTCCATCATCACCTCCTTTCCAGGCAGGGGGCACCATCAACACCTCTCTTTTATAATGCCGTGTTGCCACAGCTGCTGGTTGGTATAATGTGGAGAAAATCCATCACCTCAAGCTGTGAAAGGACTCAAGCTATTTCTGATACCAATTTATGTCAAAATATTAAGATGATAATTTTAATGCAAATGACTTAATCACATAGGAAAGTCAGGTGAGAAGGGAAAGAAGTGTTAGTCAACACAAATTTACTACAAGGTGTGCGCTTCCTCTTCAGTATTTGGAAGTAATCTTCTGGATTTTCCTGCTCTTCCAACAATTCTGCCTCTCACAAGCTCAGGTGTTCCATCAACAAACACTGGTCTCTATTTCCTCTTCTGCTAGCTTCATTTTTTACCTGTCACCTAATTACTGATTAACTAACTAGAGCCTAGATATCAGTGTAAATGGAGTAGCCACAAAAAACTACCTTCTATAGTATGTAATCCTGGGGAAATCCCCACATTGGAGAAAGCATGCCCTTTGGTAATCCTGGAGAAATCCCCACATTGGAGAGTTAAAGCATGCCGTTTGGTGCTTTCCCTCAGATCCTAAACATGTGTTATTAATAGCCCAATGAAATGTACCTCACCATGATCAGAAGAGCCAGATTCTTCAAACACGCACAACATAAGGAGCAATATGATCATGACTGGCTTATACCAGAAGACCACAGCTCTTACTATTTTGATGGGGCTACTTCTACTCTTGAGCACTGGTGAAGGTAAGCATTATGTTTATGAATCCACCTGTTCAAGGGACACCTTGTGATGATGCCAAAGTGTAGAGATGGACAACTTCTTATCTTGATATTGTTGGACTGCAAGCCAGAGATGGAAAGCAGTGCATTAATGTAATACAGTTATTGGTGGTGAATTATTTCTTTTTATAATGGAGACATTAGGGAATTATAATCAAAAATCACACAACAATCAGAATGGCTACAGCTTTTCTGATGTAACTGGTAAAGTATTCTAGTTATTTTAAACAGTTATTTAAATGGCATTTTAGACATTTTAAAGAGGCATTTCAACAGGAATTTTTCAGTGTCTATACTATTTCTGAAACAATTCACTGTGCTCGAACAGCAAAGAACAGCATATACAGTATGTTGTGAGGGGTCAGTGTGGGTGCGGGAACAAGAGAATGGAATAAAGACCACTGGTAGAATTAATTGCATAAGCTGTTAGATGCCATTCTTTAAGTGCAGTTTTTCTGAGCTTGGCACATTTCAAATGAGCTGGCTTGTCACTTTCCCTAACCAGCGAACATATTGTGGATTTTTATGAATATGGAAAGTGTCAAGTGGAGAGCGGAGGAACGTGAACTCCCCAAAGAATATTTTTGAATGAGCCATCAACATTCTATACTTGTGGACAACAGTACCAACCAGATTATTATATACCACTTTCTTTGCCTGTTCTGTGATTTCTAACACTAATGTCAGCGATGAACACAAAAGGCAACTTAACATGCTAACATTTCCCCATCCAATAGTAGTGTGAATGAATTAGCTTTTTGAGCTAAGTATCAGTTAAGAATAGACATTAAAGCTTTTCTATCCATTCCCTGCTGGAAATTCTCACCAGTTCTAAGGTGCCTAGCTACAGTGAGGGACAATAAGGCAAGAACAGAGGATCAGATGTTGCCCGTGTTGTTGCCCATGTAAACGGTAGTGTGTCTTCTGCAAGTTGAGATGGGACAAAATAGATCCTTAAGGGATTTCAAAATGAAACACTGCCCTAGAACATTATTGGCAGCACTGCCATTTCTTAGGAAATTGTTCCAAAAAGAGTGGACTCGGTAGCAGGGCAAAACAACAAATTAAAATGTTAACTAGTTCTTAACTGTGTGCATCTTTTCCTCTTCTTCCTTTTCTAGCTGAAAGGAACCGAGATTGCTGTCTGTCTTACATTATTATTCACAGTACTATAAGCAGTTGGAGATCTCAGAAATCACACCATCAGAGCTACCAGAAAAAACGGCAATATTGGGAACAGCATACATACTGTGCCGATATTTAACAGATACATTTTTGGTTTAAACTTGTATCTGTTGTACAATACCAGTCAATGTTTTTATAATTTTGACTGTGCCTGGTGGTTTTTTTTTATGATGATGATGATGATGATGATGATGATGATGATGAATTGAAAAAAATTAAGAAAGTACAGAGACCTGGCAATTGAAACATCTCACTTGTGGATGAAACATACTTCAGTGGTCCCCGTAATCACTAGGGGTTTGGGAACAATATCAAGAAATTTCACACAGCACCATCCAGAGCTACCAGAAAAAACGGCAATATTGGGAAAAGCATACACCTGTGCCGATATTTAGCAGATACATTTTTGGTTAAAATTTGTATCTGTTATAAGATTCCAGCCAATGTTTTTATAATTTTGATTAACTGTACCTGGTGTTTTTGAATAATGATAGTGATGGATGAATGCATGGGTGTCTCATGATCAGAGTGGAGGGGCTGGCTCCTCAACATTTTAGTGTAAAGCACCATTCTGTGCTTGGACTGTGATACTCCCCTTCCACAGGAATTTTTTAAAAAAAAATTTAAAGGAATTTAAAAAAAATAAAATTAGCCAAATCATTCTGGCTTCTGTTTCACTTTTAAAAGACTGAATTCTTGTATCCACCTTTGAAGTGAAAAGATAATCCACCAGCTATTGGCTTATTTTTTTCCTGAGTCACATCTTTTTCTGAAGCCAGAGTCAAGAACTTTGTCCATATACAACATTGTAATGAAAAGTACTTATAGTCATCTGCCGTCGTGTCATCTCCGACTCTTCGTATCACGCTATACAGTATTATAGTGTCCAGCAAGGGTCAGAGAGAGGAGAGAGCCGAGCTCACTCAGGCATGTGTGATGGATGGGGTTAAGTGCCCTGGCACTTGTTCAGCCTATCACCCCGGAGTACCAATAGAAGGAGGGACTGGTAAACCAGTTCTGAGTACTTATAGTTAGAAAACCATGAGTGGGTTGCTGTTAATTTGGAATTGACTGGATGATGTATCATTATTAATTTTAATACATAGACAGTGAACTTAAGAATCCTTGCTCTTTATGTAAACCTGTAGACACACTCAAGAATTTGTGTGCATAACTTATCACAATAGTTTCCTTGGCTAATGTCCCTTTGTAATTCTCCTCCTCCAACAGTCAGTTTCAGATCAATTAGCAGAGTTTATGGTGAGATTAATAGTTATTGACTACAGTATCTAAAAATCACAATATTTCTTCTTTCTTCCCCTAATTATTATTCTGGAAAATACTAATAATAATTCCTGCTTTCTTCCCCTCTTTCTAGTTTCTACACTAAGAATGGATTCAGAGCTTGTGCAAACCCCAAGGACATGTGGGTGCAGAAACACCTACGCTGGTTAAGGTAGGTAGGAACTGGTTTCCTCATAAAAAGTTAAAATGGCTGATTATTGCTGACCATAAAAAGTTTGTATGTATGGGAAGTGCCTATAATCACAGTAGGTATGATTGAAAAGAATTGTTGAGCCATAGTTTAAAAATGCAGAACTTAATTCCTCACTTCTCTAATTTGCATGTGTAGCATTTCAAGCTTTCTGAAGTAGGGCTGTAGTTTCTTTGTCTTGCGCCTAATGCAAGAGCTGTGTGGCAAAGGGAAAAAAAATGAAGCTTATGTTTCTTTCTCCATTGTTTTTACAGTGGAAAGCTCAAGAGGATGTCACACTCACAACATTTCTGAACCAAAGCCAGAGATAAAAACCTAAACTAGATTGGAACTATACCTCTGTACACTGTTGTGTGCTTGCTGACTGCTAAACCCTGGGTTCCATGCAACCCTCATTCAGAAACTCTTGTATTGTTTCTGGAATGATGCGACAACCAAGCTGAAGAATTGAGGCTAGGTTGCAGTTGTTTCTCTGTACACTTGCTGATTGCTAATTGCTGCGTTCACTCGAACTTCAAAAACTGATTCATATTTCATCTCATACTAATTTGAATGAAGCACCTTGTACGCATGGCTTTGTTTACTTGTGTAGAATCATATTTTATGATGAATCGATAAATATTAAGTTGTATTATATATAGCATGTGCCTTACTGGATGTGGCATACATCCCATCCATTAAAGGTTCAGTGCCTGCTATTCTTACAGCACACGTATAACTTGTTCTGCAACATCTTGCTGCATATTATTATTACAATCTCTAATTTGATGGAGTTTGCGTTTATTTGCTTTTTTGCCAAATAAAATGTATTTATTTACACTTTTTGGTAACTGTCCGGAGTAATGTTGTTAATAAATTAAGTATATGTCTATGAAGCACCTGGGAGGAGCCTGGGGCAGAGGGTGAGGTATGTCTGGCTGGACATTTCAGTGAGATATATTTTTCCAAGCTGTCCCTTCTTCTTCCTCACTGCATGGTCTAAGAGGGTGAGGTTTTCAAATTTAAATAAGGGTGACCAGAAGCTCTGAGCCCTTTTCCTTGGGAGGAGCCTGGGGCAGAGGGTGAGGTATGTCTGGCTGGACATTTCAGTGAGATATATTTTTCCAAGCTGTCCCTTCTTCTTCCTCACTGCATGGTCTAAGAGGGTGAGGTTTTCAAATTTAAATAAGGGTGACCAGAAGCTCTGAGCCCTTTTCCTTGGGAGGAGCCTGGGGCAGAGGGTGAGGTATGTCTGGCTGGACATTTCAGTGAGATATATTTTTCCAAGCTGTCCCTTCTTCTTCCTCACTGCATGGTCTAAGAGGGTGAGGTTTTCAAATTTAAATAAGGGTGACCAGAAGCTCTGAGCCCTTTTCCTTGGGAGGAGCCTGGGGCAGAGGGTGAGGTATGTCTGGCTGGACATTTCAGTGAGATATATTTTTCCAAGCTGTCCCTTCTTCTTCCTCACTGCATGGTCTAAGAGGGTGAGGTTTTCAAATTTAAATAAGGGTGACCAGAAGCTCTGAGCCCTTTTCCTTGGGAGGAGCCTGGGGCAGAGGGTGAGGTATGTCTGGCTGGACATTTCAGTGAGATATATTTTTCCAAGCTGTCCCTTCTTCTTCCTCACTGCATGGTCTAAGAGGGTGAGGTTTTCAAATTTAAATAAGGGTGACCAGAAGCTCTGAGCCCTTTTCCTTGGGAGGAGCCTGGGGCAGAGGGTGAGGTATGTCTGGCTGGACATTTCAGTGAGATATATTTTTCCAAGCTGTCCCTTCTTCTTCCTCACTGCATGGTCTAAGAGGGTGAGGTTTTCAAATTTAAATAAGGGTGACCAGAAGCTCTGAGCCCTTTTCCTTGGGAGGAGCCTGGGGCAGAGGGTGAGGTATGTCTGGCTGGACATTTCAGTGAGATATATTTTTCCAAGCTGTCCCTTCTTCTTCCTCACTGCATGGTCTAAGAGGGTGAGGTTTTCAAATTTAAATAAGGGTGACCAGAAGCTCTGAGCCCTTTTCCTTGGGAGGAGCCTGGGGCAGAGGGTGAGGTATGTCTGGCTGGACATTTCAGTGAGATATATTTTTCCAAGCTGTCCCTTCTTCTTCCTCACTGCATGGTCTAAGAGGGTGAGGTTTTCAAATTTAAATAAGGGTGACCAGAAGCTCTGAGCCCTTTTCCTTGGGAGGAGCCTGGGGCAGAGGGTGAGGTATGTCTGGCTGGACATTTCAGTGAGATATATTTTTCCAAGCTGTCCCTTCTTCTTCCTCACTGCATGGTCTAAGAGGGTGAGGTTTTCAAATTTAAATAAGGGTGACCAGAAGCTCTGAGCCCTTTTCCTTGGGAGGAGCCTGGGGCAGAGGGTGAGGTATGTCTGGCTGGACATTTCAGTGAGATATATTTTTCCAAGCTGTCCCTTCTTCTTCCTCACTGCATGGTCTAAGAGGGTGAGGTTTTCAAATTTAAATAAGGGTGACCAGAAGCTCTGAGCCCTTTTCCTTGGGAGGAGCCTGGGGCAGAGGGTGAGGTATGTCTGGCTGGACATTTCAGTGAGATATATTTTTCCAAGCTGTCCCTTCTTCTTCCTCACTGCATGGTCTAAGAGGGTGAGGTTTTCAAATTTAAATAAGGGTGACCAGAAGCTCTGAGCCCTTTTCCTTGGGAGGAGCCTGGGGCAGAGGGTGAGGTATGTCTGGCTGGACATTTCAGTGAGATATATTTTTCCAAGCTGTCCCTTCTTCTTCCTCACTGCATGGTCTAAGAGGGTGAGGTTTTCAAATTTAAATAAGGGTGACCAGAAGCTCTGAGCCCTTTTCCTTGGGAGGAGCCTGGGGCAGAGGGTGAGGTATGTCTGGCTGGACATTTCAGTGAGATATATTTTTCCAAGCTGTCCCTTCTTCTTCCTCACTGCATGGTCTAAGAGGGTGAGGTTTTCAAATTTAAATAAGGGTGACCAGAAGCTCTGAGCCCTTTTCCTTGGGAGGAGCCTGGGGCAGAGGGTGAGGTATGTCTGGCTGGACATTTCAGTGAGATATATTTTTCCAAGCTGTCCCTTCTTCTTCCTCACTGCATGGTCTAAGAGGGTGAGGTTTTCAAATTTAAATAAGGGTGACCAGAAGCTCTGAGCCCTTTTCCTTGGGAGGAGCCTGGGGCAGAGGGTGAGGTATGTCTGGCTGGACATTTCAGTGAGATATATTTTTCCAAGCTGTCCCTTCTTCTTCCTCACTGCATGGTCTAAGAGGGTGAGGTTTTCAAATTTAAATAAGGGTGACCAGAAGCTCTGAGCCCTTTTCCTTGGGAGGAGCCTGGGGCAGAGGGTGAGGTATGTCTGGCTGGACATTTCAGTGAGATATATTTTTCCAAGCTGTCCCTTCTTCTTCCTCACTGCATGGTCTAAGAGGGTGAGGTTTTCAAATTTAAATAAGGGTGACCAGAAGCTCTGAGCCCTTTTCCTTGGGAGGAGCCTGGGGCAGAGGGTGAGGTATGTCTGGCTGGACATTTCAGTGAGATATATTTTTCCAAGCTGTCCCTTCTTCTTCCTCACTGCATGGTCTAAGAGGGTGAGGTTTTCAAATTTAAATAAGGGTGACCAGAAGCTCTGAGCCCTTTTCCTTGGGAGGAGCCTGGGGCAGAGGGTGAGGTATGTCTGGCTGGACATTTCAGTGAGATATATTTTTCCAAGCTGTCCCTTCTTCTTCCTCACTGCATGGTCTAAGAGGGTGAGGTTTTCAAATTTAAATAAGGGTGACCAGAAGCTCTGAGCCCTTTTCCTTGGGAGGAGCCTGGGGCAGAGGGTGAGGTATGTCTGGCTGGACATTTCAGTGAGATATATTTTTCCAAGCTGTCCCTTCTTCTTCCTCACTGCATGGTCTAAGAGGGTGAGGTTTTCAAATTTAAATAAGGGTGACCAGAAGCTCTGAGCCCTTTTCCTTGGGAGGAGCCTGGGGCAGAGGGTGAGGTATGTCTGGCTGGACATTTCAGTGCCTCATAACGAGTGCCCCGTTTAACAACGAATCCGCATAGCGATGTTGATGTTGCGATCACAAAAGCGATTGCATTGCGATATTTTGAATAGGGAAAACATCACATTGCGATGATCGGTAAGCATTTCGCTTACCGATCTTCGCATTGCGATGTTTTAAAACAGCTGATCGGTTCGTTCCAAAATGGCCACCGGGTCAACAAAATGGCTGCTTGCAGCTTTTCCTCGCTTACCGAGGCGGCGCAAATGGTAGCCGGATGGAAGATCTTCGCATAACGGTGAGTTTATCCCCCATAGGAACACCAGAAAAAACGGCAATATTGGGAAAAGCATACACCTGTGCCGATATTTAGCAGATACATTTTTGGTTAAAATTTGTATCTGTTATAAGATTCCAGCCAATGTTTTTATAATTTTGATTAACTGTACCTGGTGTTTTTGAATAATGATAGTGATGGATGAATGCATGGGTGTCTCATGATCAGAGTGGAGGGGCTGGCTCCTCAACATTTTAGTGTAAAGCACCATTCTGTGCTTGGACTGTGATACTCCCCTACCACAGGAATTTAAAAAAAAAAAAAAATTAAAGGAATTTAAAAAAAAATAAAATTAGCCAAATCATTCTGGCTTCTGTTTCACTTTTAAAAGACTGAATTCTTGTATCCACCTTTGAAGTGAAAAGATAATGCACCAGTTATTGGCTTATTTTTTCCCCCGAGTCACATCTTTTTGTGAAGCCAGAGTCAAGAATTTTGTCCATATACAACATTGTAATGAAAAGTACTTATAGTCATCTGCCGTCGTGTCATCTCCGACTCTTCGTATCACGCTATACAGTATTATAGTGTCCAGCAAGGGTCAGGGAGAGGAGAGAGCCGAGCTCACTCAGGCACGTGTGATGTATGGGGTTAAGTGCCCCGGCACTTGTGCAGCCTATCACCCCGGAGTACCAACAGAAGGAGGGACTGGTAAACCAGTTCTGAGTACTTATAGTTAGAAAACCATGAGTGGGTTGCTGTTAATTTGGAATTGACTGGATGATGTATCATTATTAATTTTATTACATAGACTGTGAACTTAAAAATCCTTGCTCTTTATGTAAACCTGTAGACACACTCAAGAGTTTGTGTACATAGCTTATCACAATAGTTTCCTTGGCTAATGTCCCTTTGTAATTCTCCTCCTCCAACAGTCAGTTTCAGATCAATTAGCAGAGTTTATGGTGAGATTAATAGTTATTGACTACAGTATATAAAAATCACAATATTTCTTCTTTCTTCCCCTAATTATTATTCTGGAAAATACTAATAATAATTCCTGCTTTCTTCCCCTCTTTCTAGTTTCTACACTAAGAATGGATTCAGAGCTTGTGCAAACCCCAAGGACATGTGGGTGCAGAAACACCTACGCTGGTTAAGGTAGGTAGGAACTGGTTTCCTCATAAAAAGTTAAAATGGCTGATTATTGCTGACCATAAAAAGTTTGTATGTATGGGAAGTGCCTAAAATCACAGTAGGTATGAGAAAAGAATTGTTGAGCCATACTTTAGAAATGCAGAACTTAATTCCTCACTTCTCTAATTTGCATGTGTAGCATTTCAAGCCTTCTGAAGTAGGGCTGTAGTTTCTTTGTCTTGCGCCTAATGCAAGAGCTGTGTGGCAAAGGGAAAAAAAATGAAGCTTATGTTTCTTTCTCCATTGTTTTTACAGTGGAAAGCTCAAGAGGATGTCACACTCACAACATTTCTGAACCAAAGCCAGAGATAAAAACCTAAACTAGATTGGAACTATACCTCTGTACACTGTTGTGTGCTTGCTGACTGCTAAACCCTGGGTTCCATGCAACCCTCATTCAGAAACTCTTGTATTGTTTCTGGAATGATGCGACAACCAAGCTGAAGAATTGAGGCTAGGTTTCAGTTGTTTCTCTGTACACTTGCTGATTGCTAATTGCTGCGTTCACTCGAACTTCAAAAACTGATTCATATTGCATCTCATACTAATTTGAATGAAGCACCTTGTACACATGGCTTTGTTTACTTGTGTAGAATCATATTTTATGACGAATCAATAAATATTAAGTTGTGTTATATATAGCATGTGCCTTACTGGATGTGGCATACGTCCCATCCATTAAAGGTTCAGTGCTTGCTATTCTTACAGCACACGTATAACTTGTTCTGCAACATCTTGCTGCATATTATTATTACAATCTCTAATTTGATGGAGTTTGCGTTTATTTGCTTTTTTGCCAAATAAAATGTATTTATTTACACTTTTTGGTAACTGTCCGGAGTAATGTTGTTAATAAATTAAGTATATGTCTATGAAGCACCTGGGAGGAGCCTGGGGCAGAGGGTGAGGTATGTCTGGCTGGACATTTCAGTGAGATATATTTTTCAAGCTGTCCCTTCTTCTTCCTCACTGCATGGTCTAAGAGGGTGAGGTTTTCAAATTTAAATAAGGGTGACCAGAAGCTCTGAGCCCTTTTCCTTGGGAGGAGCCTGGGGCAGAGGGTGAGGTATGAGTGGCTGGACATTTCAGTGAGATATTTTTTTCCCAAGCTGTTCCTTCTTCAGTGGTCTCATTCAATGGCTTTCCCTGCCAGAAGAATGAGAAGTTCTTTTCTTTGACAGATCCCGAGTCTGGCAATCTTGTCTGTTGTAGAGCAACAATGTCCATCTGCGGTCTACTCAGTTCCATGTCGATGACAGCGTGAAATTCTCAAATTCTCTGACTCCATTGTTGACCCTAAACTGGTAAATAGGAAAGCCAATTAAGAATGCATACACCTGGGGTGCAGGAAAGTGTTGGATCATACTTCTGCACTATTAGAGAGCAGGCTGGGAAGGTGGGGCTCGTCAGCCTTGGAAGCAGCCCATTTAGGAGAAGGAAAACTCTGATTTCAAACCTCCACTGCCTTGTGGCTTTATCTACTGATGGAAAAAGCTTCAGGAGTTAACCTCGAGGCCAAATCCGGAGCTGGAATCCCAGAGGCAGTTCGTGTAGTTCTGGCAACTCCTGCGACATCACTGGAACCAGTTGTATGGGCTCTTGCCTTTCTATTGGATTATTTCAATGATGTGGAGAGGGGGGATTTGCTGCTTGGGTAACAGCCTATCCTCCATATTATTCTACCCAGGCTTCATGCTCTGGAGAGGACACTCATACAGAGTGCGTTATTATGGTCTTTCGAGACTGAAGGGTGCCTAAGAAGTTACAGAAGTGACTGAATGGAAGAGAGGATACGTTATGTGGTTCCAAGAGAATCCATAGTAATTTGTTCAGGTAGAGGGGAAAGCTGCACACTGGTACATTGGCTTAATTTGCACATGCAGCCGGCACCACTCTAGGACAGTGCACCTGTCTTGCAGCTTGTTTTAGTCCATAGATGCTTTTCTGAAATACTGTATAGGAATTTCAAATTCAGGTGGTTTCTGCAGATTTTCCAGTATTTCACCAAGTAGGCCAGCTGTCTTCCATCTAGTTGCTCCACTTGCTTCTGTATACCTTGCTGTGTTCTGATTGTAGTGTGCTTGTTTACTGATGGAAAAGTCTGATCATCATATCTCTTCTTTAAGATCAATTTGCAGCCTTTAATTTTTCTAACTCATGGTAACTTGGTCAATTTCTAAGTATGTTCTTATACAGAACACCAACACATAACAAACATTAACTCCGATTTGGTTCTAGGTTCATTAATTTCTTTCATTTTCAGCTGCATTTCTCCCAAATGCGCATAGAAAGTATGTCCTGTTTTCTGTATATGCACCACCTGTATATTTTTATACATTGACTTATGTATAAACATATCTTTGCTTCTCTGCTTACACTTTTGGTTTACCTGCACTTGTAGGCAATCTTTTTTCAGGGACACACACCTTCTTATACCTAAACACTAGTTTAGTCTCCTGGCCCTTTACCATCTTTAACACCTGCCCCTAGATATGTTCCAATGTCATTATGGTATGCCTTGTCTCAAATTAAGCCAAATTAAGCCATTCCTGGTTGGCATCAATTAATTTCAGTCACCTAAGTGTGTGGAATAGGACTAGCATGCATTGTGGTTCCTGAACTGTGTGAAAGTTGCCATTCAGTTGCTGTGTTTCCATTCTGTGAAAGCTGGTTATAACTATCAAGACATGCCCTAGTAATTCATGTTTTATGTAACAGATGTGTGTTGATTCATGGTCTTTGTTGCATATAAATCCTGTAAACTCTTGGGAGAAAAAAGAGAGTATATAATGGGAAGCCATGATGGGATGTAGCTTCCTTGTATGCATTTGTTTTATAGATATTTCTTGTCTTCACACTTTATGATGATCATCATGGCAAAATTAGTGTATTTGGGGCAAACACAGCTGCTGCTTAGAGTAAACCCTACATCAATGAGGAACAATTTCAAACCAATTTCTACTACAGTATTTACAAAAACAGTCTAGAAGCATTGTTTCATTAACATAAATACCTTCCACTTACCATAAATGAATTCCTAAATACAAATGAGAGAAACAAACAAATCCATTCAAGAAACCAGGAGTTTTTATTCCCCAAAGAATTTTAGAAATTCTCTGCTGTTCTATCGTATTTCCTATGTTTGAAACATGAAAGATTTATCATGAAAGGGTAAACAGCGGGGAGTCAGAAGAATGCTTTGAAAGTGTAGTGGGTTATTAAATTCTGACCTATATCATAGTTGGTTTGACCTGTTAAATGTTGAGGTTTTTGTTTGAAAGGAAAAGGTTTTAACTATGTGATCCTTTTCATTTTCTCTCTAAATTCATGTGCAGAAAAAAAATGTAATGTCAACATGAATCATTCTTTGAAGGTTCACTAGCCACTGCCAGAATTTGATAATATGACTAGGATTAGTATCAACTACTGTACAAGGAACATAGGATTTCTCTGTATTTGGTCTCCTTCAAAATTTTACCAATATTTCTGTTAAGCCAATTCTCCTATACTGTATACTGAAACATGCTTGTTCTCAAGGGTTTAGCAAAGGGGGCATCTCGGTCCAAATGGGGGAAGGCATGCTATGGTTTGGTTGCAAGTCACCTATGGTTGTTTAGAGGGGAGAAAATAAGTTTTGTTGTCTCTGATAATAGACTGTCAACTACAGAAATCAGAGTATCTCATTACTGTACTTCACAATGGTGAAGCGGTCTTAAAAGATTTTCTAGCACTTCATCTGGCCACCCCACCCCACTGTTCTCCCGTCTGAAGGCACAACAGAAGTCTGTACGACTTCCCTTCCACATGTACGTCTGACACGAGTACCTGTGACTTTTATTTTCAATTCTTAGATCAGAGAGACCCCCTTTTGGCAACTACACAGGGATAAGGAGACTGGAGCTGTTCCTGCAGTATCTTAATTTTGTGATCCACTTCAACAGGATCGCGCCACATAATTCCTGCCCTCTTATTCGCATTGTCACGGGTTAAGCCTCCTGAACTGAAAAGCACCATCTCCTGCATTGCACTCTTCTACGCTATTAGTTAATGGCTTTCTTTCGAGAAAAATGTTCACAGGATCCCCCTTCATGCCAGATTCTCTGCAACATTTCCTTCTCCCCTGTTTTCCCAATTCCCTTCCTACGCCCCACAAACCCACTATGACGCCATGGCCAACGTACGCCTCCAACGTACGCCTCCCTTCCGTCACGGAAACGAAAACGGCCCCTCCCTTCCCGCCACCGCCCTTTCCCATCTGGAGCCCTCCGCGGTTGGAAACCAGCGAAGCCAGCGAGAGCCATCTGCGCCTGCGCAGGGTAGCGAGCGTCGGTTTGTCTGGTTTCCTTGGCAACCACGCCGTGTCTAAGGCCGCCGCCGCCGCCTTCGGGGACAAGATGAAGCTGAAGCGGTTCTTGCTGAGATATTACCCGCCGGGTGCGGAACGGTCCAGGGGTTGGAGGGATGGAGGTTTTGTGTGTGTGTGTGTGAGTGTGAGTGTGAGTGTGTGTGTGTGTGTGTGTGAGAGAGAGAGAAGAGCGGGATGATGCTTTAGTAGGGTATTTGGGGTGGCGAGAGTCGAAGGATGATACTTAATGATAAAGCTTAATTCGAAGTCATCAGATTCGGATTAATACACTCCCCTCCTTATGTCTCTTAATTAGGAGGCAGTAAACCCCATTGTCTTCATTGACTGAAAAGGTATAGAATGCCTTGCCCTGAATATCAAGGAACTATTTGGGGCGTAGGTGAGGTTAGTGGCCAGTCCTTTGCGACCAGAGAAAATTGGCACTTGACATTTTGGTGGCCAGGGATCCCTTGGCCAGCCCACAAAGCACCACTCTCTTCAGCAGGATGAGCCTACTCAATTCTAAAGGTTGTTCCTGTGTCCTGGGATCCTGGATGGGTGGATCATGAGGAATCAGGGACATGGTATGGGAAGAGGAGTGGGGTTTGCAAAAACAGAGCACAAAGATGGGATCAAAACTTTGGAAGCACTAATTTGAGCCTCCTCCCCTCATTGTAGATGTTACCAGAATAAGACATTTAGGCCAGTGTGGTAGAGTGGGCAGAATGGTAGACTGAAGAGTTGTAGATTCATATCCTCACTTGTTTATAAAAGTCTCACCTTGGGAAAATGGCTCAGCACTGAAATCAAACCACTGTTCTGTAACTACCCTACTGCACACTTACCATATGTTAGTGTACTCTATGCCTCTCAACATATACTATGGAAGATTTGATGTCAGCTTCCCCAAATGCTCTTGATGTTGCTTATTACTTGGTGAAAATTGTCTATTATATTTATTAATTATTCTGTGGTGCTTCTGACATGAACAAAGAGAAAGAGACCAGATGCAGACTGTCTGGAGCCTTGAAAGATGTTTTAACAAGAACTTGTAATGTGTTTAGATTTCACATGAACTAAAAAAGCTATTTAGCGACTTTCACTTATGTCATCAAATTCCATCTGCATTTGGTGACCCTAGTAACGTTTTCAAGATATGGGAGATGTTTAAGGAGTGGTTCTACCAGTGCTGCCTTTTCTTGAGTTTCTTGGGGATTTGAATGCAGTTCTCCTGAGTTGTAGTCTGTCCGCTACACCATACTACTTACACCACAGAAATGCAGTTCTCCTGAGTTGTAGTCTGTCCACTACACCATACTACTTTTAGCTACTTACACCACAGTTGCATTATTCTAACACTTCACTGCATTTTCTTTTCACATTCAAAAGACACCTTGGGACTTCAAATTGCTCTCAGTTTCTTCAGAATCAAGTTGTCTAAGTGCTTCTAAAATAGTACAAATATAAACAATGGTAGGTTAATCAAAGAAGTAGGGTTATTTTAGGAACTGCTTCAATTTAAAATCCACATATAAAGAGCAGAAAATCCCGCTGTTGCTCAACAGGAGGTATCTCCACCCAACCCTGGGGAAATCCTGCCCTTCTTTTCCACATCAATGCACATCCTTATTGAGCATGATTTTACAACCCTTTGTTCACCATTTGTAGGGTATTGGGATAGCTGTCTTGAGCAAAGGTGTGGAAATCTCCATATATCAAATTCCGGCTCAGATCATAGCTTTTAAGTTCTACATATGTCTGTCTTGTCTGTGTGCTTCTACTCAGCCTGGCAGAGCTAGCCTACTTTATTTTTAAGAAATTTCCAGTAAATGTTTATAAAGCTTCCTATTGGCCTGAAATAGCATTACTACTGTTTCCTGGAACTTATAAATGTTATTATGTTTCTTCTGGCAAGCAGTTACATCAATTCATAATGTGATGTCACTGGGTGTGTTCTGAATTCTACATTTATCATGAATACAATGTTTATAATTGAAGCTATAAGAATGCTTCATTAAAAAAAATCTGTGCATGTGCATATACTGCTGGAGTCAAGTAGAGCTAATTTAGGGGCTTCAATCCCATGCATACTTACCTAGCAGTAACTACTATTGAACACAGTGGTATTTATTTTTTGTAGAAGTGCATAGAAATGTACCTGTCCCCAAGTGCTTGTGCATGGACAGTAGAATATTTAATACTTTCCCTTTGAACAGCAGTTTCTCAAGCCATAAAATAAACTCTTCGGACCAGTTTCAAAATGTTTTGTCATACGGTGTGGATAGGTAGGGGTTGAGAAATATTAATCCTTTGTTCATCTTCAGTTAGTCACAATGCTTATTGGCCATGGTCTATTGCTTCCTGTGTCAGTGTGTCATCCAACAAGATGTCTGCCTAATTCTGCCCTTTCTTATATGACTTAAATTAGAACTAGTCCCACTGCAATCAATAGAATTTTATCAATTTCCCCGCCTCCCACGTGGTTTTTTTTAGTTCTTAACTCAAATCTAAGTATGTAAGTCAAGTCAATATTTTCCTAAGAGAGTGGTTCTTAAGTCAAAATGTTCTTAACTCAAGCCGTTCTTAAGTCAAGACCCCACTGTATGGCTTAAATTAGAACTAGTCCCACTGAAATCAATAGAATTTTATCAGAGGAAAGGTCAATTTTGTAGTGTTTGCATCAGAAATCAGCTTGATATTAAATTAATAATTGTTTTGTTGTGCTTCTTCAAAGGCATTATTTTGGAATATGTTCAAGGCGGAGAAGTGAAAACTAAATCCATAGATTTACTAGATCTGAATGTTGCGTGAGTATTCTATTTTACTGTAGTTAATATGCCTGCATGTTGAAACAGAACATTTAACTGAAACATACAGTACAAACCTCCTGAACAGCTCAAAGCCCATATTGTATTATTTTTCTCTGGGATTGTACTCGGAGACACTGTTTGACAGTGGCTCTAGTCCTTCCTGGAGGAGAGAACTCAGAAGGTAGTGCTGGGTGACTCCTGCTGAACACTCTGGCCATTGGCCTGTGATGTTCCTCAAGGTTCTGCTTTGTCACCTATGCTTTTTAATATCTACATGAAAACACTGGGAGAGGTTGTCTGGAGTTTTGTGGTTTGGTGTCACCAGTATGCGGATTACACCCAATTTTATCTCTTCTTTCCACCTAATTCCAGGGAAGCTGTCTCAATTCTAAACCAGTGTTTGGCATTGGTAATGGGCTGGATGAGGGCAAACAAACTGAAACTTAATCCAGACAAGACAGAGGTGCTCCTGGTTAGTCGGAAGGCAGATGAAGGAATAGGGATACTACCTGTGCTGGATGGGGTTACACTCCCCCTGAAAACTCAGGTCTGCAGCTTGGATGTACTCCTGGATTCATCCCTAAGCTTGGATGCCCAGGTCTTGGCAGTGGCCAGGTGTCCATTTGCACAGCTAAAACTGGTGTGCCAGCTGCATCCGTTCCTTGAGATGTTGGATCTGGCTAAAGTGACACACGCCTTAATGTTACATCCCATTTGGATTACTGTAATGCACTGTATGTGGGGCTGCCTTTGAAGATGGTGCAAAACTCTTCAGCCAGACTACTGACTGGGGCCAGCTACAGGGAACATATAACGCACCTGTTACAAGAACTGCACTGGTTACCAGTCCGTTTCCAGGCCCAATCCAAATTACCTACAAAGTCCTATGCAGCTTGGGTCAGGATTACCTGAAGGACCATATCTCCCTATACAGTATGTGCCTTCTTGGCAATTAAGATTAGCAGAGGAGACCCTCTTCTCGATCCCATTGCCAGCACAAGCCCAGCTGATGGGGACACGGGGGAGGGCCTTCTCTGTGGCAGCTCCCAGGCTATGGAATGCTCTCCCTCGGGCGATCAGGATGGCCCATTCTCTGTTATCCTCCCGAAAAGAAGCTAAATACCCATCTCTTCAGGCAGCCTTTTAACAATTATAGCTGAATCCCTGAATCCCATTTCAGCCGAAATTTTAATCTCATGTTTTCATGTTTTAATCATTTAATTGCACTGTGTTTTAAATCATATATTGTTTAATTTAACTTTTTGATATTTAACTTATTGTGTTTCCAAACTGTGTGAATTTTAACGTGAGCCACTTTGGGGCCCTTGTTGGGAGAAATGTGGCTAATAAAATAAATAATAAATAAAGCTGAATTGTCGTAGCCATTGTCTGTGAATGACCCTCTCCCAGTGTCATTTTCCACAAATATTACTGCCCAGTAGTTGTCCCTCATAAGCTCCACTAAGGAGTTTGGCCGCCGCATTCTGCACCACCTGAAGTTTCCGCATCAGCCTCAAAGGCAGCCCCACGTAGAGCGCGTTACAGTGGTCTAATCTTGAGATTACGAGCGCATGCACCAAGGTAGCGAGCACCCCCGTATTGAGATAGGGTCGCAGCCGAGCTGTCTGCCAAAGATGGAAAAAGGTGGTGCGGACTACCGAGGCCACCTGTGTTTCCATGGTGAGCGTCAGGTCCAGATGTACCCCCAAGCTGCGGACCCCACTCTTTGGGGCCAGGGTTTTATTTATCTTTTAATATTTAACTTATTGTCTTTTTAAATTGTGTGAATTTTACTGTTGTGAGCCACTTTGGGTCCCTTGTTGGGAGAAATGCAGCACATAAATAAAACTAATAAATAAATAAATAAAAATAAATAAATATCTAACAAGTATAATGCTTAAGAATGTAAGTAACCTTCTATTTGAGAATTTGCTTAACAAATACTTTGTTTCATGGTCATTGTCCCCAGGTATATTTATCATATACTGTACTAGTGATATTATCCATACAAAAGTGCTTTACAAACAGGAACTATTGCATATTTGTTCCTAGTGGTTTGTTTGCTTTTAACATACCGAAAGATTAGGAATTATTTTTAGAGATTTTTTTTTTGAAATTTTCCAATTAAAGAGAGATTTAACTCTTTAAGTTCTGTAACTAACCGTGAGAAACATAATTACAAAGCAGGCACTCCAAGATTATATGTTTTTTAATACAAAAACATGTTGCTTGAAATTAAAACTCAGTAACAATAGTGAGTTGCTGTCACTGAGATCATCATTTCTTAGACAGTGAGTGAAGCCTCATTTGGAATACAGTGGTGCCTCACAAGATGAAAGTAATTCGTTCTGCAAGTAGCGCTATCTTGCAAAATTTTCGTCTTGCGAAAAGTGGTTTCCCATAGGAATGTATTGCAATGCATTCCTGTGAGAACCTCGTAAGACGAACGAATTATTTTCGTTTTGTGAGGCATCGGTCTCGGGGGGGGGGGAATCTTCACGGCCATAGAAGAAGCTGTCTTGCAAGGCACCACAGTGATCACAAAAAAACATTCGCCTTGAGGGTTTTTCGTCCCGTGAGGCATTCGTCTGGTGAGGCACCACTGTACTGTGTTCAAGTTTATGCACCCATATTCAAGAAGAAACGGTAACATGAAGCAGTTACAAGTAAAATAACAGAGATATAGGAAAGTTATCTTGTAAAAGACACTGAGTGGATGCTTGTTTAACCAATAAAATAAATGAGACATTGCCTAAGAGAGTCATTGTAGTATACTGGAATAGCATTTGGGAGGCATGCGTTCATGTCTTGCCTTGGCCATGAAATTCATTGGGCAATCTCGGATCAGTCACAGTTTTTGAACCTGACCTCAGAAGCTAGAGCAGGGAGAAGGAGGGACACTTATGCCACCTTGAGCTCACTGGAGAAAAGTCAGGGTAGAAATGTAACAGTTAAAGAGAGAAATAAATATAATAACATTTTATTCTAAAGTGAATGTTAAATTTAATGTAAGTAAATGTTTATTTTTCTTTGCTTAATTTGTATCCCATCTTTCTACAAAATAATTCTCATGATAGCTAGTAACAGTAAAATACAAACTAAAATCAATAATAGTCCAAATACAAAACTGGATAGGTAAAATACCACTGTAAAACACATATACACAGAGATAGTCAGATAACCAAGTTTGGCATTAACAACGATCAGAACAGTCAGCTTATGAAGCCATTATTTAACTAAAAATGCTAGGTGGCAAAAATTCATGAAAGAAAAGATAAACAGGCTTCCTTCAACATACAGTAAATTCCCAGTTTAGGAAGAACCATTGCAAAGGCCATCTCTCAATTTCCTTCCAAAGACATTTCATATGTCAACAATAAATAAAGCTGTCTCATGAAGACCTTGGAATTTTTTTTGTGGTAGGGGGGTTTTATAAAGCTGTCTCATGAAGACCTTGGAATTCTTTTTGCAGTGGGGAGGGGGTTTGGGTAGGTGGGGCTTGTCAGCCATGTAAGGCTGCCCATCTAGGAGAAGGAAAACTCTGATTTCAAACCTCCACTGCCTTGTGGCTATATCCACTGATGGAAACGGCTTCAGGAGTAAACTGAGGCAAAATCTGGAGCCAGAGTCCTGGAGGCAGTTTGTGTCGTTCTGGCAACTCCTGCGACATCGCTGGAATCAGTTATATTGGCTCTTGCCTTTCCATTGAACTATTTCAGCGACGTGGAGAGGGGGGATTTGCTGCTTGAGTAACAGCCTATCCTCCATATTACTTTACCCAGGCTTCATGCTCTGGAGAGGACTCTTTTCGATACAAAGCATGTTACCATAGTCTCTCAAGACTGAAGGATGCCTATGTGTATGTGGGGTCATATGGAAGAATGCTATTTTCAGATAATGTGCTCCTGAAATGTGTAGGTCTTTAACTATAATCTCCAGTCCTTTTTTGTTGCTATGTCTGGAAGCAGACTGGTAGTCAGTGAGACTGTAACATGTGTGTGTTGTGCATGCTCCCTATATCTGCCCTTCGTCAGTAGTCTGTCTGCAATATTCTGAACCAGTGGATGTTTCTGAACATTTCCTGAAGGCTGTCCCACAAAACAAAGTTTATGGTAGTCCAAATGAAATGTAAGTGAGACACATGTCACTGTGCTCAAATCTCAGTTATTTTTAAAAATCAAGTTGCTACAAATGACTGGCTGGTGGTAGCATAACTAGTCTATATTGTGAATGAGGGAGGCTCACCCTGAAATTATGAGCCACTCCTCAGATAATATTCTGTTGATTTCCACCTTCTCTAGTGCCTGCAATCTAATACTTTGTTATATTTTGCTTAGAAAGCAATATTTTCCTTTTGAGTTTATCATGTAGCTCTATGTATGTTGCGTTAGAGTATGGGATATGAAATCTTCTGAAATAGTGTACTGCATCGAAGGGGCATATCATTTTTCATGCTGCTTTGTATTTTGGAAAAAATACACCAAGAGTTAGTAGCCTGTTGTAATTTGGATCTCATGCTTGTTTTGTACAGTGTGGTATAGGAAATCCTGCCTTGGAATAATCTGTTTTATTTTCTGGCTAAAGTTTTATGATGCTAGAGAGTATACATGTTTCCTAGGTTATGAAAATGGTATTTCAAAATTTACTTTAGTACAGATGTAGGAGCTTTGGTAGAAGATATTAGAAAGGCAGAACCTCTCATCATGGCATCACATAAAGATCAAGTTGTACGTTTAATACTGCGGTTACAAGAAATGCTGGATCAACCAGTGGACCACAAGTTCTGTCTTTTTAAGGTAAGAGTCACAGGAAAATTCTTGATCTTTGCAGTAATGTTTTCCCGAAAATAAGACAGAGTCTTATATTAATTTTCGCTCCAAAAATGCATTAGGGTTTATTTTCAGGGGATGTTTTATTTTACAGTCATGTCATCTTCTTCTGGTTGCTGCACAATGCTGCACAATAGTGGAGGGTTTAATTTAACTGGGGCTTATTTGTGGGGGAGGGCTTATATTAAAAGCATCCTAAAAAATCATACTAGGACTTATTTTCAGGTTAGGTCTTATTTTCAGGGAAACAGGTTAAATACACAGAAAGATGGCTAGATAACTTAATGAGTTAATATCTGACTGGAGCCTTCTCATGATGTGTCCAAAGTGGAAGAGCTTCAGTTTCATCATTTTTGCCTCCAGAGATAATTTAGTCTTGATTTGATCTAGGGCCCACTTGTTTGTCTTTCTCTCTGTCCAGGGTATCCACAAAGCTCTCCTCCAGCACCATATTTCAAACAATTTTTTTTCCTGTCGGCTTTCTTAAATGTCCATCTTCCACACCCATACATGGTGATTGAAAATGTAAGAGTGGGTGTGTCTATTACAGCCAGGGAAATTGCATTGAAAATACTCTGATGGTATTTGACCACTTCAGCACTCACATATTAACCCTGCAATGTCACCAATGTGTTGGAGAGGCTGTAAATGTAAGTGATCTTTTCAACACCTTTGGTGGGTATTGCAAAAAGGTACACCAATTTTGGGAAGAAGTGTTTAATGAAATAAATAAAATTACAAACCAGTCGATTAATAAATCTCCAGAATTAGCACTTCTTACTCTTTTTCTGGGGGAAAATGAACCCATTTCATACAAAACCTTAATAGACCATCTTTTGACTGCGGCAAGACAGACCATAGTGAAAGGGTGGAAAAATATGCAAGGAGTATCAATTACAGCATGGTACTGAAGAGAATGGCAGGTAGCACTGCAAGAAACATTAACCACCAAATTGCATATAGTTAAACTGATTGGCATCCTTTTATTGTTTATATGAATAGAATGGATAATAAGAGACTCCCTGATGTATATACAAATTATTGGTCATTGTAATATACTTGGAAGATATTTATAATTTTCCCTGAAAGGTTTTATAAGAATTTTGATATGACTTTGCAATGGGAATGGGAATGGGAGGGTGGGATGGAAGAAGGGCATTAAATATAAGAATGTATATGTGAATGCATATAATTAATAATAATAATAATAAAGGAAATATAATAGTGTGAATGATCTTGGTCTTGGTCTCCAGTGACACATCCTTACACTTAATGATCTTTTCTCCTTCCTTCATTTCTGCCTTCCTAGTCCCAGTCTTCTTCTGATTCCTTGGCTGCTATTTCCGTTTGGATTGATGATTGAACCAAAGTATACAAAATTTCTTAACTATTTCATTTATTTCATTGTCACCATTAAAGATATGTAGTTCTTCTGCAGTCATCATTTTTGCCTTCTTTATGTTCAGCTACTGTCTTGCTTTGGCACTTTCTTCTTTCACTTTCCCTAATAGTTGTTTCATGTCATTGCAGCTTTCTGGCAGTAAGATGGTGTCATCTGCGTATCTAAAATTTTTGATGTTTCTTCCACCAATTTTTGTTGCTCCTTCATCTGAATCTAGTCTGGTTTTCTATATATGTTTTGAATTTCTGAAAAAACACAAAATAGCCTTAGACTTTGTGTGCTCTTTCACCACCCTTGTCATAAATTGCAGTACTTTCTTCCTGTAGCCAGATGGCACTGTTGAGCTATTGTAATTGACAAGTTACTTACTGGTGATTTTAACAGAGAGAATTTAAGCTTGAAACCAAGGTCTCCTCGACACACACTCTCTGAAATGTATTTCTGCTGAAAATCTTCCTAAAACACTTCACTTGGAGTTGACCAGTACATAACACTGTCACATCGGTCAGGAAATAATCTGCAGTCTTTGCTCTATTGTGTTTGTTTTTATTTATATTTATATTTGCTTTATATTTTTCATATAATATTTCTTTTTTTAAAAAATGTGTGTTCGTAAAGTTTTTAGCTTTTAAATAGTGTCATTTTCATTCGTTTAAAATAAAATAAATAAATGAATGAATAAATAAATTCACCGGACAATGTGATTAAGTGATTTATATCAGAGGCACAGATTCTGAAAAGGCATTAACTAAGAGTGAAAAACCACAGGAAGACTGCATGAATGTTTGGGATCTGATGTAGGATAAGTTACACAAAAGGTCTAGAAATAATATTTAAAAAATAATTAAACAAGTATTATATTAAAAATGATAAATAAAATCAATACTAAAACACATTTAAAATGGCAGAAAACAACTGTCAATTAAAAAAAAATCTTATCAGACCCCTGGTCATTAAGGAAAAGCCTACCTGAAGGGGAAAGTCTTTGCCTGCTTGTGGAAGTAAGCAGATAGAACTGGATAGGACTCTTCCTCTCTTCCTCTGCTCTTTGTTGGCAGTGTGCAGGTGGATCTATTAAAAGCAGCATGCTCCTGGCAACACCAAAAGAGCATGGTCCTATTTAGAGTCCCAAACTCTATTCCACCTGTGTATGAGAATCTGATCTAAAGGGCAAATAAGCTGATGGGGTTAGTGCTAGTGCTACATAGGGAAGACTTGCTCATTGATTTTCTCATTAATGTCTTAACTCCAAGTAATATGACATGTACACCAGTGTTCTCCATATGAATAGGGACAAAACCTGTTGTGGGGGCTAAATTAGCTTTCTGCTGAAAAACATCATAAATCTGTTAGTGAAAAAGCATCAGTGAGTTTGAACAGAGCTTGTCAAATCGTTCTATTGGATTAAGTATACTTACCAAATCTTTCACAAACACTTGTTCTTCTTTGGACGGAATATGCTCTCACTTTATTTCCTTTCAATGTACATGATCTGCTTTCTGAAAGTAAAAGTTTTAACATCCTTTAGAATGATTGGCCTCAGCATAAGATCATTCTTTCTAGTCATTGTTCTGCCACGCCTTCTATTTTAATTTTTAAATGGTGTTTTAAAACCAGTTCCATGCTATTGTATTTTTATTTTGTTCTCTGCCATTTATTTTTAATTAAATTAATGGCATTCAATTTAATAACATTTTACCCATACCATTTTAATATAAAGAGGAGAGGAGACAGGTATACTACTTTGAGCACATTGAAGGGTGTGTCTAATAAAAATAATGAATAAATTAAAGAGTAATTTTAATAGGGTTAGTTCATGATACTGTAGATGAGCTCCTTCCTGATTCCATATCTGGATCATTTTTATTGCATTGGTAACCTGGCTCAAACTCAAGCGGCATGGATACATCTTTTACAGTACAGTGGTGCGTCACATAGTGACGATAATCGGTGCAGCAAAAATCGCTGCAAAGCGATTTCGTCGCGATGCAATATTAAAAAGCCCATAGGAATGCATTGAAACCCGTTCAATGAGTTCCTATGGGCTTCAGACTCATCTTTAAGCGAAAATCCTCCATATGGTGGCCATTTTCGCTGCCCGGTAAGTGAGGAATCCGTCCCAGAAAACAGCAGGCGGCCATTTTTTTAGCCGGCAGCCATTTTGGAACTGCCGATCAGCTGTTAAAAAATCATCGCTTTGCGATGATCGGTAAGCGAAACAGGGTACCGATCATCGCAAAGCGATTTTTCCCCATTTAAAACATTGCAATGTGATCGCAAAAGTTCATTGGTATGCGATTTCTTCATTAAACGGGGCGCCCATTAAGCGAGGCACCACTGTATATGCCCTTTCACTGATCCACATGAGGGAAAACTGTGCAAATTCAAATTTTACTGAGGAGAAAAATTCTAAAACCTGAATTCCCGTGGGCGGGGAAAGGAATTATTTAGGTGTATAATAAAGCACTTTTAAAATTTGTTGTAGGAAAGCAATGGGACAAAATTGACTCCACTTTAATTATGATAAAGCATGTTGCTTGAAGGGTTCAAATAGCTATTTTCTTATTCTTTAATAAATGAGGCATGCATATTTTTCTCATCTACCAGGAATAATTAGAGATATGTGGAGTATAATTCATATGAAGCCTTTCCATAGAAGCCTTTTCGGCTTTTAAGATAATCTGGCCTTCTCTTGATTCCATCATCTTCCCAAGCTTGTTTGGTGAGGCCTTCTCAGTCATTGCTTGATGGCTACATTGCTGTGTCAGATTCTGAGAAGGATGCCTGACTTCCTCAGGAGTTCTACATAGATTTATATACCTCCTAGCCAAAGAACAGAAGCATAATACTCATCATAGCTGACATTATCCTAGGAAAAGGTTAATCCTAGAATGAAATCTGACAATGACAAGCATCTCCAAACTCATCTGGGTACCTCATTGTAAGTGGTCTTCATTGTTGCTTTAATTCCAGGCAATGTTAAAACGTTTTACATTTTCGTCAAGTTTTATTTCTGCTAGGTCTCATATGAAAAATATAAAATCCAAAAGTATTTAAAAACATGTATTTAAAGACATGTTGCTTTAAAACCATCCTTACAGCTATGAAAAAACACTGTAGATGTAAACACTTACACATATGAAAGTTGAACTTAAGTTGTACTTGAATATAAAATACAAGAGCTTTTAGCCTATAAAGGCAGAGAATATTTCTCTATAACATTTCATTTAAAGATACAAACATCATGAACTTCAAAAGCTGTAAAATCATCCTTAAAAATGCATGAATGAACGTAAGAGTTCTTATAATAAGAAAATGAAAATGAAACATTTCTGAGTTTCTAAGCATGTTGTGAACACACAGAGAAAAACATTTTCTCACCGAGGCATATGTAAGCCACCTGGAGTGGTCTTAACCGACTAGATAGGCGGGATATTAAATAAATAAATAAATAAATAAATAAATAAATAAATAAATAAATAAATAAATAAATAAATGTAAAATCCACTGCTGGCTGTCAATGCTACACTGTTATCTTCCTGCTGCTCTAAGTACATTCTCCAAATACTTGAAAGATAGTCGAGCAGGATCTGTTCTTGATCATCTCAGATGCAACACACATACTAATGGGCTCAAGCTATAGGAAGCCAGATTTAGGCTGAATATCAGGAAAAATGTAACTGTTAGAGCAGTACAACAATTGAAATAATTACCTCATGAGGTGGTATGCACTCCAACGCTCTAGGAATTCAAGAGACAATTGGATAACCATCGATCAGATTGGCTTTGATTTGGACTCCTGCCTTGAGCAGGGGTTTGAGTTGATGATCTTATAGGCCCCTTCCAAATCAATTATTCTATGATTCCTGTCATCAGTTCCCTTCTCTGTCTCACACTCCCTCTTCCTCCTTCGATATGATGTATCTCCTTTCAATAATAGTGTGTGATCTCTCCCTATATTTATACCACTTGTTTGCTGCATAATCTAAACATAAGGTCTGGCAAGGCCAGGACATCATTATGAAATTGATCTGGTGCTATTGCTTATCAGTACTAGAGCTTATAACTGTGGGACTGTCCTGGTCCTTCTGTCAGGGCAAGTATAACTTATCAGTACCCCAGCAGTCTGCTAGGGCACCAGCTCCTTGCTATTTATTTTACCATCAGTAGATGGTACTATAGGATAACATAACATTTTATCCTTTCTCACAGCAATTACTTCCTACAGATTCATGGTTAAAGCCTCATATAACAAATAACACCCTTCTTTCTCTTCTATGCTTTTCAAGAAACAAACAACTTTAAATAACATCCATCTTTTTTGCCTTTTATAATACTGTATTGTGTAAAATCTTCTATAATATATCATTATTCTCTGCCTAATACAGGTTTCCACATGTATTTTGTGGTATCTTTTTGTTAATTAATATTATACGTGAAACACAACATAAGTAGCACTTTAGAATGCGCTTCATTTTTTCCCTCTTGTTCTATTGTTCACATTGCATCATTGAAGTGTTGTTTACTCTTTCTTTTAAAAACTGTCATGAAACTGAATGAGTGACTTCTGCTTTGTTATCTTATCAGTAGCTGTGTTTCAGAACAATCCAGCTGCTTTGCTAAGTGGTGGATTTATCTTGTAAACAATAAAAAGCAAGCCTTATTTTTAATTTAAAGCACTTTAAAATCACTTTTTTCTTGTACCTTTTTATGGCAACACTCTGCACCCCATGAACTCAATTTTTTTGGCTTTTCTGATTGCAGGTACTTCGGACACATATATTGCCACTGACTAATGTTGTCTTTAACAAATCTGGTTCTTGGTAAGTTTGGGTAGTTGAAGTTCAAAGTGCATAATCTGAATGTAAAGTTATTTCTAATGTAACATGTACATATTTTACAACCCATAGATTCCTATGCTGAGAGCCTTTGTTAAGAAAATATTATTAAAATCAATTCTAGAACCAAACATGCTAGAATTAATTTTTTAAAACTAACTGTTTTTTAAAAAATATATATTAGAAATAATAAATTTATTTATTAAAAATAATATTTTATTTGTCCATTCTAGCTTTATCACTGGAAGTTATGACAGAACATGCAAAGTGTGGGATACGGCTTCAGGAGAAGAGTTGCGTTCTCTGGAAGGACATAGGAATGTGGTATATGCTATTGCTTTCAATAATCCCTATGGGTATGCCACTTTTAAGAATCTTTCAGTGAATTTATTGTTGTTGTTTAGTCATTTAGTCGTGTCCGACTCTTCGTGACCCCATGGAACAGAGCATGCCAGGCCCTCCTGTCTTCCACTGCCTCCCGGAGTTGGGTCAAATTCATGTTGGTAGCTTCAATGACACTGTCCAA